GTGGTAGTGGTAGTAGTTGTGGTCGTAGTAGTAGTCTTGGTCGTAGTCGTAGTCGTATTCGTCGTCGCGTTTTTGGCAGGGGCAGCAGCAGCAGTGGTAGTGGTCGCGGTCGCGGTCGTGGTTCTGCTGGTGGTGGACTGGTAGTGGCGGTGGTTGTGGTTGGGATGTGGTGATGTCTCGAGCTTGCGTGGCTGGGCTTGTACGGTACTGATTCCCACGTAGTGGTGGTCCTCGGCGTCGCAATAGCAGCAGTAGTAGCAGTGGCAGCAGTGGCAGCAGTGGCAGTATTCGTAGTTCGTCGTCGTCGTAGTGGTGGTAGTAGTAGTAGGAGTAGTAGTAGTAGTAGTAGTAGTAGTTGTTGTGGTCGCAGTACGAGTATCACCAGCAAACAAGAATAATAGATAATTTCGATGCTGATCATGTTTTGGAATTTGATGACAAGGATGGCAATCCGACATGGCAGTAAAGATATAGGTGATGAACAGCATCCATATTGTCTATCCTCTTGCCTGCCTGCCTGCCTGCCTGCCTGCCTGGCTGTCTGCCTGTCTGTCTTTCTGTCTTTCTGTCTGTTCGTCTGTCTGTCTTTCTGTCTGTCTGTCTGTCCAACTGTCCAACTGTCGAGTCATCTATACATACATGAGTGCCTAAACAAAAGAAGAGGCACAAACTCATTCGGATTTAGACTTAAACATAATTACAATTGTGAATGCGAGCAAGTGAATAGGCATGGAGAATTACAGTAACTATATAAGGTAAGTAGACCGGTCTACGTGCAGATATGTTTGCATGCATGTATGCATGTTTACATACATACATACATACATACATACCTACCTACGTACGGACGTATGCACGGTACGTACATACATACATACATACATACATACGTACATGCATACATACATCAATACATACATACATACATACATACATACATACAAACACGCATATATATATATACATACACACACATGCAAACGTAAACGTACATACATGGCCATGAAGACATGAACCGACGATCATGGATCACCCTGAGTCGTGAACCCTCTCCGATCCTTAGGATCTGCTGGTGCAGATGGCACCATATGCTACATCGGAACCCTAAATTCTTCGATCTCTGCGGGTTTCAACGAGCAAGGCCGTTATGTCGCCTGGCTGCGCATTAGTGGCGGAGGGAAGGGGGGCTTTGGGTTGTGGAGCTGTAGGGCCTAACTAATTAGTGGTGAGGCCGTAGAGCATGTTCTGGTCCATTAGTTTTTTCAGAAGCTGGCCTTGTAAGACCACGGCTGTGCGGGGCCAGTCTGGGTTTTGTGGCTTACAGGGGCCCTATCAGCATGGAACTAAAGACCCCAAATCTGCTAAAGTCCTAAAGCCGCAGCCCCTGGACCCAGGGTTTCGGGTCAAAACTCCTTCAACCTTCAATCATTCTGAGTCCGAGTACTCAGGCAGCAAGAAATTCACAAAACCCCAAAGCCGCATATCCTCAACCCGTGTCTCCCCCTGAGCCCTTAGCCCTGAAGCCGGAAAGAACCCAAGCCAAGATCCCTAAACCCTAAACCCGAAAGGGCTTAAACCCTCAGTTGAGGACTCCAAACCCCTGCTGCCCCGAAAGCATCCCCAGCTGCATTGAGGTCTTCATCCAAGATGCAGGGGGTCTCGAATATCTAGACGGCCGCTTGCCCAAGTTCGGGCTTGAGGTTGAATAGTTGAGTGAGCATGTCGTCGTGCAATTCCTTCGGGGTCAGGGTTTCAGGGCCTAGGGAAATTAGTTCTAATATTTCCCCTTGAAACCCCCCACCCATGCAAGCACAGTGTAATAACCCCAATTTTTTTGTGATTATTTAGGCTCCTCATCCTAAACCCAAAACGTATTCAAAGCCTGCAAGCCCTACAAAACTCCATTACAAACCTATAACACCCATTAAACCTCAATAAATCCTCGTCAAAACCCAGATGTTTCTGCGAAGTCTCGGGTTTTGGCTACATGCTTCGTGTTATAGTGTAAGTCGCACGTACGTGCCTATCCACCTCGGATCTGTTTACGATCCTTTGCACAGAGGGTTCAACAAATTAGTGTACTCGAAAACCGTGGCATCGTTGTAGTGGTATAGCTGCATGGACAGTATAGCAATAGTTAGTCACATTAATAGAAACAACAATAATCGTAGAAACTGTCAGCAGGAACAGTGGTAGTAATACCGGGCTAGAATATATCGAATTAAAACATTTCGGCTCCGAAAAGTTTATTTGGATCTACCTCAAACCCTCGTTCCTTTCATTAAGACCCCCCTTGCTAGACCCCATTCAACCCCAAAAGTTTGCTTGAGGTACGGAGAACCTGGTGGCATATCAACGTCGACCAAATCCGGTCTTTGACAACGTCTCTTTTGATCTTCGCCTCTGGGAAGGACATTTAATATTCGCACGCTTTAAGTAGATGTTTCGAAAGCAACGATAGCAGCGACACATGATGCTACTACGGAGTGCAAGTAACAGTATTAGCAAAACACTTCATAGCAACTGTATTGATGTGCAGACTTTCGGAGGCGTGACCATCAGCATTGGCCTTGGCAGCAGCAAAAACAATCAAGGTTGTGGTGGTGATGGTAGTTGTCGTGATGTTAGCGGTGGTGGTGGTGATGGTAGCAGCACTACGGGGAGTAGGAGTAGTAGTAGTAGTAGTAGTAGTTGTTGTTGTTGTGGTAGTGGTAGGAGTAGCAGCATCAGCAGCAGCAGCAACCCAAGTAGTGGTACCGGTACCCGTGACTCAGCACCATTACTAGTGAGACTAGTGATGCTTGAAGTGAGTGTAAGAATCAGAGCAATCGTGCCGAATTTTGTCGCGGTCTTCGTCGCTGTTGCCGCAGCAGCAGCTGCTGCAGTAGTAGGAGCAACTTGGATCAGTGGGATTGGAGCAGTCTGGAGGGTTGAGTTGAAGATACCTGTGCTGGACCACATACTGGCTGTGGCTTCTATCAGCGGCCACACTCCTATTTTGTAAGTTTGTAATTATCATCTATTCGTCAAATGCCAATAAAGCCCTAAACCGATGAACCCTTGAGGCCGATGCCCCCAGCAAGATCTTGTGTTGTCATTTAGAGGCGATAAGCACCGTGAATGAACATAAACGTTGTGATCGGACACTTTAAATGATGCGT